TTTTTTTAGGAGGCACTCTCAATTCTTCGCAACTGCCCTCCAGAAGTAAGACTGCTGGTCAAACGTTCCAAGGGCTCGTCGTACCCGCCGTATCCAGGCTTCCGCGGAAGTGTTAGCAGTTACGCAAGTTATGGAAGCTATGGAAGTATGTCCAGCCTATCATAGCTGACATCTTCATACGGGAACTGATTTTTTTTTTTTTTTTTTTTTTTGACTTTGCGTCACTTGCTGAAGTCACACAAAGCTAGTCTTTAGGATAATATTTAGATAGCAAAGCGATGCCTTGAGAATCTGGAAATTGCCTGAACCTAGACACGTGGTTTTCTATCAAAGCCAAACAAGAAAAGTGACTCCACGGCAGTTTGCGATTGTATATCTTTTTTATGGTACTTTGAAAAAAGCAGGTCGATTTTTAACTYTCCTGTTTAACCCATCAAGAGAAAAACAGTTTGAAAAACTCCTAGTTTTCTAGTGAATACAAATTTCAACCGTTTTTGTCGAGAAGACGTCTCACTAAGAATATTGCAAGCTGCACGTGGAAAAATCACTTCAAGTAGTTCCCTGACACAATCATAACGAATGAGCGGGATTGTCAACAAGTCACGTGATTGTCAATTAGTTCAGCGTAATGCGAGTTTATTTGATATAAATGGTTTTATAACAACCATTTGTATCTAGAATTTTTACACTGTTAGTATAAAGAATTCTCATGCAACGGCAGCTTCATGTGAAAAACCGGTTCAAACCAGTATTCTCATTATTGGACGGGAAGAAGGACATTGATGGAATCCCTGGGGGAATCTTTTGTTATTTTTTGCATGAGCATCGATTGCAAACTACTTTAAGTTCAATTTTGAGAATAATGATATTGTCTCGTCGATTCTTGCTCTCCAGAGACTGCAACAGAGACAAACGTCGCTTTTTCGTCTGTTAGATAAAGTTCCCTTTGCTTCTCATGCAAGAAGTTAAAAAACAAATTACTCAGAAATCATTCAAAKTAATACTTTGTTCGGTGAACTGGAATACTGGCGACTTTTCGATCAACTAAATACGTACAAATGGTTATGAACCATCCATGTGGGATGTCAATACAACTATAGTGCCGAAGATGCTTAAATTCCTTATACGCATGCTCATTAATTTAACTTAACCGGTTGGTTTGTGATCCCACATGTATGGTTCATACTCATTCTACATGTACTTGTATTCCGCTGTCTTTTTTTAAYGTYTCTTTYCCAATTCATTGGTCCAGATACAACTGTAACGTCAGAAAATGCGTTAAAAATAGTAATTGCCGATATCTTTTTTGAATGATGACAGCATATGACAATGTAATCATTTTGGTTAAGTCTACATAAAATTGAACTTATATTATGAGGAGTAATCTTCTCTTTAATTAGATGATAACACTAAAAACCTCGGACTACAACCCTCCAAAATGACCAGAAATCATAGTGATTTTTTAAYAAAATCCATGGGCTAAAGCCCACCAAAATGCTGAAAATAGTCGAAAATCACCGATTTTTTATCAAAATGAACGGACTGRAGCCCACCAAAATGSCCAGAAMRGACCCGTTTTTGATCAAAATGCATGTGCTATAGTCCACCAAAATGACTGAAAGTCGTCGATTTCTGACAAAAAATTTGTTATTTATGGCCATTTTAGTGTGCTATAGCCCATGCATTTTCATCAAAAATCGGTCATTTTTGGCCATTTTGGTGGGCTATAGCCCATGCATTTTCATCAAAAATCGGTCATTTTTGGCCATTTTGGTGGGCTATAGCCTATGCATTTTCATCAAAAATCGGTCATTTTTGGCCATTTTGGTGGGCTATAGCCCATGCATTTTCATCAAAAATCGGTCATTTTTGGCCATTTTGGTGGGCTATAGCCCATGCATTTTCATCAAAAATCGGTCATTTTTGGCCATTTTGGCGGGCTATAGCCCATGCATCTTCATCAAAAATCGGTCATTTTTGGCCATTTTGGTGGGCTATAGCCCATGGATTTTCATCAAAAATCGGTCATTTTTGGCCATTTTGGTGGGCTATAGCCCTNTTTTTCGAAAATCATTGCTTTTTTAAGAGTTCATGGACTATACCATGTTTTAATGTACTTTTATTTGATTTAAAACAATACAATTTTACAATGGAATTTATGATTATTTATTCATGTTATATAGATAAAAAAATAATAGTTCTTTTATATTGCTTAAAATGATTTGTTATGATTTTGTATTTGCTTATTTTACATTACATGGAGAATATCGTGGAATACAAATAACTCTCTTGTACTAAAAACCCAGAGTTGAATCTTCTACAAGTTTGACGCCTTTACTGAATACAATCTATATTACTATTTTTATTGGTATTTTTTTTTTGTGTATTTATTCGCGTTTGAAAGTCGTTGTGATGCAAAAATACTAGATTTTCTAACGGTTTTTGTAGCGATAAATTCTTTTGCATTCAYAAGTTAATTATTCATCTTAACGAAATTAAAAGGGAACATACCCTTCTTATCTCTTAATTCCCCACAGCACCAGACATCTCCCTCTCTATAGAGAACCTTAATGACGTCATTTGCTTTAAATGTCAGCTCRTGGTCTCCCTGTGCCTCGTAATCAAACAATGCCGTGCATGTCTTTTCCTTTTGCCGAGCTGGACCCTGGGGCTTCTGGAACCCAGTGTTCGGACGGAAATTACTGACCGTYGAATATACGTCCAGTGAATCTTCTCCTGTAGAATAATTAGCTTATTAATAACCCCTCTAGCTRGGCTCGTGTTCAGATTAAAGTGTATTGTTGAGAATATGTTAKCATGGACACTTTGGGATAWGGATTTCATCTTCTCGTGTTGAAAATKTAGTACTTGGTTGTTCACGAGATTACAGCGCGCTAAGATAAATATACCCATCGAAYATCATCAGCGAGGGCATTACCTTCTGGTGACGGGATGCTGGGTAAAGCGGCTGGCGGTCTACGCTGCATCTTGCTGGCATCACGTGATATAGTATTAACACCAGTGGTCTTTTGTGTAGACTGCGTCATATAATAGTTCTCATATTCTATYGGCGCTGGAAAGACAAAAGTCACGCGTCACGCAAAGAATCAGTTTAACAGCCATACATTCTTGTAACGCTAGAGGTAGTGAATTTTTAACATAAGTGACACGCATTTGCGCGTCTTAATTAAAACGAGTACCTGGTCTCTCTGATCCTGTGCGTTTCGTGCTAACGAACAGCTGTATGTCCGTATCGACGTCGCAATGTTCCAGAGATTTCCGAATCTCTTCGTACACCTAGAAACAAATAACCAATGCAATAAGTAATATAGTCATATCCATTTGACAACAATAACAGTCATTCACCTCGTCTTCTTTTACGCATGTTATGGAACCAAGATTAGCATACACCCACATTTCGTTGCGAAGGTATGCGATTCGTTCCTCTTCTAATTCCTGGAAAATCTAATTGAAAAACGAGAGAACACATCTTGTAACAGCRCYAAAAATTATAGGAACAAACAGYGATATTAATTTGGGTGATGGTTACACACATGATKCYATGTAATGACATAGTGCTTTCAGCCTCTAATGAGACAGTAGCCACAAAAACTGCGAACACTTAAAACAGTTTACTTTTAACAATGATTTGTGTATGGAGCAGAGCAGGACAATTATCATTCGTGGTGACCTTGCACTTACATTGCAACAAATACCCATCTCGTGTTCCCAGGATATCCTGGCTTCTTCTAAAGAACGAACTGAATTCTGGTACGCAGTATCTAAAAATGAAGACTTCGATGTATTTAAGATTGCTAAGAGTCAGAGGAAGAAGATGTCCAATAATACTGAGGTGAACAAGGAGGACAAGAAGAAAAGCAAAAAAATAAAATTGAGAAAAAAGTGATGAAGAATTGAAAGAAAGGGAAATACAAAACAAAAGGAAAGGGAAAAATATCACAGATTACCTGCTTGTTCTACTGCAGTRTTCGCTCTGCCCAATCTAGATCGAAACTGTCAATCAAGGAATATTTAAACTAAGTAAATAATTGGGAAATAGAGTGTTTTAGCCAAACAGGTAYGTACCTTTTCCTCATCTTTACTTGCTAWGGACACAGATCMTTTGAGWGCTTCATCAGCTGCATCATGGTCTTTACACTTTTGCTCATAGGACCTTTTAAACTGTACAAGAATATTTTAAGATAAAAAAATTAAAACCAAATTTTGWAGAGTGAATATGTCAAAACCTATTGTATTACCTTTATAGTGTTGTCATAGTGYGTCTTCTTCGTTCTTTGTGCTCTTTTTACATTCTCTTCGACCTACAAATTAAAACCAGTTTGAATGTGGAATAAATCAGTCTGGTTTTATGTAAACAAGCTCCAACAATAGACCAAGCTCTAGGACAATAGGGGTTGAAAAATATTACTATGAACCAAATTGAACAATCAAATATTTATAGATGCTCTAGTATGTGAATAAGATTTCTTAAGGCCAATTTAGGGCACTTTCCATTTAGTCAGAACTGCCCACCCAGACTGATTTAGAAGTAATTTGTGACTTTTATTGAGATTTTTAAAGGGACACTGTCAATGGCACGCATGCGCGAGTAAACTTGAAAACACTAGGCTAGTGTTTTCAAGTTTATGACTCCAAGTTGGCGCGACATAAATAAGCTCGTAAACGTAAACAGATCTAGAATATTCCAAAGTGTGTCAAAAGCACCACAAAATGATTTACCTCGAAGGTAATACTTTCAAAGGCCGTTAGAGGTGAGACTGTTACTGCGCATGTCATCCATTGACAGTGTCCCTTTYAGTAATGTTCCAAATTTTCCATTATACTATTTGATCAAATCTAAAAATTTATTCCTCTGTGGGAACAGAAATGATTGACAAGGGTGTCTTCTTTTCGTCTGACCAGTCAAAAATAAAAGACAACCTTACACAATGCAGCTTGTTGTACAATTTCAAATATGTCTCTACGACTAGACGTGTGTAGCTGTACAACTTGCATCAAGCTTTTGATGACATAGGGATGATGGGTACACTTCAAACCACATAATGTAAATATGCCTTTAGAAAAGTCATCAATGCAATTAGTATTTGCATACCTGTTTTCGCTTATTCTTCTGTGTTTCTCTAAATTCTCTCATTGCCTTGTCCAAATCATCTAGCAACTGCTGAGCAAGTTGTAAATGCAGCTTGCCAACATTTTCTGTCTCTATGTAATAACATTATGATAATCGTGGTTAATTCCAAGACATGATTCAGATTACTAACTCCTTTTGATACCAGACTGAAAGTCAACTARAACATATGATGACTTATGCACCCCCACACTCCTTGTAGTGAATATAATGATGATAATAACTCACCCTGCCGCAGGCAATCCCAAGAGCTTTTCAAAGATCTACCATGTAGATATTTAAGAGAAAAAGTGTCACATCAATTGCTAGTGATATAATTGTTGTGATCAAATATAAATTATAAATTTATTTAAACTATAAAAATAACTGTCATTGGTTACCCTATCTCGTCTTTTCCTTCAGCCATCCTAGCAAGTCTTACCAAACTTTTTCCATATTTTTCCTCAACATCAGCTCTGTGCATAAAAAATGGATTCAAGCTAAAATTTATGAGTACCACCCCTCCTCGCCTGAATTCTCTGTTACCTCTGCTTCATGAACTCTTCAAAATCCTGACAAGTTTGCTTTCCATCTTTCAAGCGTTTGCACAGATTATCAAATCCAGCAGTACTTGTAAAATCAGAACCCTAAACAATGAAAGTAGAAGATTTAAAAATATTCAGGTAGATTAGAATATTATTCCCATATACTATTTTCTTATGAATTTCCCATTTGTCACTAAACGATGAAACAATTATTATTCTAAAATGAGAAGAATGAGGAATTACAACGGTGGAAGAGTGCTCACAAGGCAAGTAAGTCACTTTTCATTGTCTGAAAATGTCTGAATCAAATTTATATTACATAGGTTGTTCTTTAAGCGCATAAAATTAGATTAACCCTTCCCCCTCTGGAATCTCAACCCCTCCCTCCTGATAAATATTGGGCAGTCCCTTATTACCACTCATCAGGCAAAGGAATTTAAAAGTATGTGAGCTTTTTCAAATATAAAATTGCTTTAATAACATATATATTCCATATCCTTTATTGAATTAGACTATTGTATCAGCCCTTTTGTGAAAAGCCAATCAAACACAAGTCTGTCAATCAATATTGTGGGTCCCTTTGTCAATAAATCATGTATATTATAGATGTAATATTGTGTAGTAATATCAATAACAGTTTACTTGTAAGTATATTTGTTTATTTATGTACCTAAGATTAATTGTATKTCCGGATATACGTAGGTCATGTGAACTATTGTATATGGAACGTTCTCGTACCGCGAAGCAATGTAGCCGTAATCAAATTTACACAGTTCCAAGTAACTTAACTATACCCAGGATATTTAAGAGAAATCAAGAATAAACAAGAAATAATACGATGAAAATGCTAACAGAAGAAAGATCCAAAAACCACAAATCTATCCATTTCACTTAAATGAAAGCACGAGTCTTCAGCTGTTTATAAATCAAGTATTTGACACAAGCCATAAAATGCACGGCTTGACTCGACGTCTCGAGTGTGAGGAAACGATCCAAATATTATATCAAGAATAGTATAAATCACAAAYTACATTAAGGATATCACTGTAGCAGACTCACCCAAAAGCAATCTACGAATCGAGTCATTTTTGTGGCAAATTCAAGCCGTCTCTCAACCACAACAAGCCTTTAGCTTTCGACAGGCCCGGATACGGAAATAAAACAGAGGAGCCTGGGGAATACATAACCACAGGAAACCCAACTGKTGTAGMTTTCGACACGGTTTCGAGAAGATCTGAACCGCTTCAACAGTAACTTTTTCCTGGGTGATAATATTGATAAGATATAATTTTTTATATTCATATATATATATGTTTTTCTTTTTTCATTATTTTCTCATTTTCTCTTTTTTCTGTCTTCTTTCTTTTCTCCCATATCCCTCCCCCCTCTTTCTAGTCAGGTCTCTCATTCAAACTCCCATTTCTATACACGTATCTAGTCTTACTATAAAAACTACTCTTTCCTTTTATTTCCCTTATTTCTTTCTAGTCTCTTGTTTCCCATTTTGTTTTCTCATTTCATCCAATCCCATTTTTCTACAACTTTCTTCTCTTCCACGGACACTGCGTCTTCTCTTCTAACAATCGGGAATTGCAATTCAAAGACCAAGTGTAAACACAACTTATAACGGGGATAAGGTAAGGAGGAAAATTGTATGTGCCCAGTGAAATATGATATCGAAATTCCCGAACGTCATCGTGACCGTGATCTCCAGACAACAAGAATCAAGTTCACGTTGACCGTCACTGATAACTTGCTTGCCAGACATGTAAAGATGGCTTTTGTTTGGTTTCTCGTACTCTTTTTCTGTATTGGGCTCTCAGGCTCAGGTAATATGGATGAATTCCATTAGTTCTATAATGATTTATACTGATTTGGCTTGGTTTTTGGATGTTTAGTGCCTTTTAAGTTCGTCGACAGGGATGAACAACAGTTTGTAAGTACWACAGTTGTATAAATAAACAATGAATAAATAGGGCACTCAAGCTCACTAGATTCCGAACTGGGTTTCTGAGTGTAATTGAGAGGTGAATTCTCTATTCCGACTCAGCCTAGTAATTGTAATGTTAGTACCGCACCACTACAACACTAATGTAACCACGTTTTATAGCAGTTATAGGGTTATTTTACACTAATTATAATCCCTTTGCTGTTCCTGGTAGACCAATTAAGCACATAAATGAATGCTACTTTTGGTGGAAAGTTGAAACGAAAAGAATAGATGTACAATCTACATAAAGTGAAATAGTTCCACGCTTTATTCCTTTCTTTTATCGAGATTTTGTRTATTTTTTCAATTTATTATTTATTCATTTATTTATTTAATGGAATAGATACTTCATATCTTTAGCTAGTCATTTAGTCATTTTATTCCATGAATATTAATTGACAGTTTATTTCAATGAGTTTTTAATTTTTCTATGAAGATCGGCGTCCTTATAACATTCACACAAAGTTAATTGTAATTCCAAAGCCGAATCAGTCCGAAATTTTCTTTTAAATGGTCTCGATAATTGCAAATATATAAGAAAATATCGTTTTAGTTTACAATCAAATACTATAAAATGGGACTATCGAGATGGGCGCACAGAATGTGCTTTGCAAGCCATGCAAACCCCCTTTTGCATTCGGGGCTTGGCTATGCAAGAAAGCTGTCCCTTTTCGCCTTTAAACCATGCTTGCATCTGCGCACTACAAACTTGATAAGCCAGTTTAGTTGCTGCTGCTGTGTTGTTGTTTTTGTTTTTAGCTTTGCTTTACTTTATGCGTACTTTAAGAACAAGGAAGTTATTCCTTCCATTTAGAAACAACTTCATCTATGATATGATCAGAATGTTTTCAAGGTCACACTCAATRAAAAAATCTCCTTCTCCCATTGGTACAAATCGCCCCTGTCTCATCGAGTCTACTTATTGTGTGATTTATCTCACTAAGCACCAATCAAAACCWATTCTTTTTTCATTGCTAACGAAGAAAAAGTGAGCTTGAGTAATTTTTAGTGGTAAAGAAATATTTAGATAGTGATTTAGTSAAGTWGAATGCAGTGGTYTGGTGTTAGTTCTCTGGCGCTCAGTGACAGATGCAYGAGACGTGTAGAGGACCTTTGGTAACCTTATTATCTAGTTCCGTGTTTTCTGTTCTTTTGTTTAAAGGTAAAAGGATTCAATTTCTCCTTAAAAGTCTTGAACTTTTCAGTCTGTTTATCATCATGCWTAGTGTAACGCCAAGAGAGCCGGACTGACTTGAATCAAATATASCCAAAAACTGTGAGGGCGGAGTGGAGGTCATTAGAATGGCTAGGCGTTCAAAAACATGGAAATAGAAATTATGACTTAAAAAATTAGAGAAGAATCTTAATGAAAAAAAAAAAAAAAACAAACAAACTCCAAAGCAGCATTATCTGAAAGAAATTGCATTTTTCGCAGCACTAAACCTGTACATTTATTCTTTTTCTTGAGTTAGTCAACCTCTTCGAAACGTTCTGCATCTGTCACTGAAAAACTGTAATAGTACGAATATAGGCTGACATTTCACGATAATTACTATATGAAGACGAAGATTTCTTTTGTTTCAGATCGATCATCTTCTGTTAGATCCACATAGTTCCGAGGTCGAGAAGCACAGCCCACATAACATAGGCAAGGAACGTAAGTGAAGACAAATGTTCCATCTTAAGACWATTTCATCGAAATGCTGATATGTCCGGTGCTAYCCAATAGCTGAAAAACCAGCTCATATCAAAGTTTAAGTTTCCCATTATTCAGCATCTACCCAGAAATGTCTTCTTCTTTGAATTGATAACCTTTACTGAGGTAAACGTTTGAATGGAATGKATAWAAATAGTGCTCTCTGAAGCTTAACTTGAACACTAAATAAATGTTGCGCGACTAGTCYAGGTTTTTTAGTTTACCTCAACCGAAGCATCSAGAATTAACAYTARGATGTAGGTAGAGCCTGCATGTTTACCTACTTCTGTCGTATTTTTTTTATTGCCGTAGTAGATGAAGTCGAACAAGAGAAATTTTTACTCGACAAACGGCAAGCACATCTCTCTCAGGTACGTGTAGAGGAAAATTAATGAACATGTATGATAAGTCTGATAAGTACGGACATATATCTAATCTTTCCATTGTGGKGGGGTGGATGCATAGTGACCGAAAGCGTTTTGGCATCCTTGCACCCTTTTTCTCTTGTATCCGCTCCTAACACAGAAGTAGTTAAACTGTTCAACTCCTATCTTATCACTACAGAACAGCAAACAGTTTCATATGATCAAAAAAGCTGCTGCGGCAGTTGTAAAACGGTTATCGATGCCATCGCCACCAAAGACCGATTCCTTGATTGAACAAGCTGTGCACTTGGTGTTTAAGAAGTCTTCGCCCGTAGAGTATGCAAAGATCAGATCAGCGATCAAGGAGCAAGTCGAAAAGGTATCGCGAGCACTAGTTTGGATTTAGCCATCATGATTAAGACTAGCACATATTTATTAAGTAAGGATGGTGAGGCGGTTGGGGTGGAGTGTCTGGAGGTGTGTATGGACGAATGAATTTAACGATGCCGCTGAAAAGGAGAACTTCATCCTCGGAAACACAGGGGCTTTGATTTCCTAGTTACCCAACTCGGAAACACAGGGGCTTTGATTTCCTAGTTCCCACTCAAAACACTCCAGGATGTAAGAGCCCACGCCACAGTAATTGTAATGTTTGTACTTAATTTTTTGTATCTTTTAGATGATTTTATCGAATGAGAACAAAGGCCAAGGTACGAAATGTTATGAACACTCATTCAAACATCAATTCTACATTTTGCTGGTTTAAAACTCGTTTCTTGATGTTTCTGTTTAGTGCCCAAGTCGAAAGCTTCTGGCCTAAGAGAGGAAAAGATACTTGAAGTTCTTGAAGAAATTCTTAGCGAACTGGCAGCTCAGCTGAACTTGACGACACCACAAGTAAGCCATTATTATTCTTCGCCTAACGATTTTCCGGACATACGCACCAACAGTGCAAGCTTAAAAGTAAAATTATTGCTATTTCTTGGTGTTTCGAGGTCAAGTTCTTAGTCAACAAGACAGTGAATATCCTCTCGAAGAGTTTTGGTCTTAAACCATGGCAGAACCACGAGCTCCACGAACGCGTCACGTCACACGTCAGAGCGAAACTAAAATACGAAGACTGGGACAATAAAGACGGACGATTAAGAAGACTTGAGGAGAACATAGAAAAAGAAATCAATTTCTTGAAACTCACGGACAAGCAGGTGTGTTGGATATTTAATAGAATAGATTTCCTTCGGGTTTTCTATCCTTCAGTCCCAGACCTGGAACATCTGATGTGAATTTTTTTCCAGGCCAGACGACTTGAGGCATTCATGGTACAAGAAGAAGCTGCCGAAGAAGGTCTCTCCAAGGAGGAGAGACTGCGCATGCTCAAGCGTGTGATTGCCGACATAAAAGATGATTTCAAAACCGAAAAACTCGAACAAGAAAGTGGCCCTCCTAAACTATCTTCGGTTAATATTATTAATATTAATAACCTTATAAGACAGAAAGCTTTGGAAATGCAGCTAACGAAAAAGGAGGTAGGTTGGCATATCACCTTGAGTATACGTGAAACGACMCTCATAGGGCTCAAGAGGKGATTAAATTCGTGAGATCTTCTTCTTCACTTGAAATCCCTCATAGTTGTTTTATTTTTTTCGTAGCTTAAAGTTCTTGGTGTGGCAATCTTGACCGCAATAGGGGACTTGACTTTGCATACCAATCCAACTCAAACTTCCACCACCCAGAAACCTCATTCAYCAAAAGGTACATCAGTTTGATATTCTTTTGATGTTATTTAATTTGTTRATGCATTTATTAATTTATCTATGCATTCAAATGTGCACACATTCATWTATACGTTTGTTGGTCAGTGACGCCAACTGATGACAACGATCTTGAAGAAGAACTCGAAGGAACAAAGCCACCAGAACATGGCGRTTCACCAARGCAAAAACGGACAACCCAGAAACATACCAATCAAGTTAAAACGCATACTACAAAAAAAGCTGTAGCTAGTACTAGGACTCCTACTACTGAATCTACTGAGCCTACTGYAACTACTGAATTACCRACRGAACGTGAAAAGACTAGAGAAACAGAAGACAACCTTGTGGAAATGCTGGCCAAAGATGAGGCTGACCTAGAAGAGGAAGGTTTGTTGATTTGTTGAGTGAGGTTGATATGTTTMCCATCTTGGCATGGCCGTTTTGTTTGTAATATCGCTTTGATATTTCTTTCTGAATTGATAACTAGAGTTTCGGCCAAAAGACAAAGAAGAAAAAGCACAACCGAAAGACGAATTAGAGCTGGAACTTGAGGAGAAGCCCCACCATGATAAAATATCAAGCAAAGCCCCTCATGTAACTYAGGCAATTACCTCAAGCACTGAAAAAATTCGAATAAAGACTGAAAGAACGACTTATGAACCTACTGAGCCTACCAGGACGTCAGAACCAAATACKCCAGAGAAAGAAGTCACCCATTCTCGTCATACAACTGAACATACAGGCAAAGAAATTGATGAGGAACTTTTGGAAGGTTCTACTAAAAAGCCTACTGATTATCATACAAGTGAAGTCACAGAGCACSTGATGAAGACATCGCCTGTAGTCAKACACTCAGTASCTGCAACTAAAGACAAGAAACTAGAAGAAGACCTTTTAGAGGAACGCGTGACGGAATCTACWGAAAGTCCAATTTCYACTCTTAAAGTAACGCAACKTACTACGGAAAAGCTYATGAAAAGTACGCCTAAATCTGTGAAAACTGAGCAGGAAAAGAAACCGATTACAAAAAAGACACATCCTGCACCGTCTACCAAAAATGTTAATGAAAAACTGGAGGAAGATCTTTTGGAAGATCGTGTAACAAATTCAAGTCCCAAAACCTCTGTAACACATTCCCCAACTGAGTATGTCGGTAAATCAACCAGAGACCCTGGCGAGGAGTCAAATGAAATTCCAAGAAAAAYGGTMCARAGTCGAAGACACAGAGTTAAYGTAATGGAAAYTGAAGCGGAGCTGGAAGACWTYGGCTTGAAGAAGGTGAGCAACACATCATAAAACAAACGTGCCAAAAGCCATTTTAATTGAAAAGCTTCTCTTATTTCGCTGAGATAGTAGCATCTATTCTTACCAACCTTTTGGTTCATTATGTTGAAGGGTAAGAGAGAAGACAAATCTCTTGAAGATGARCTTCTTTTAGAAAAACCTGCAACTAAGGTACAAATTGTTTGTAAATTAGTTATATCAATTAATATAAATGTTTTTAACAGCTGCACAAATACCTCCATCAAATTGCTACCCAATGTACAACCATGTACACTTTGTTTTTCAATCATCATGATTTTTTTCTCCATAAAGAACAAATCCTTGGAAGACGAGCTCGCTGATGCACTCTCGCAGAAGGAAGCCAAGAGTAATGCACATGATTTGGAAAATGAGCTCAAAGATTTGGGTGAAGAATAGAATGGTTAGTAACCGTTTAGTAATGTAAAAATAACATTTATGACCTGTTSTTATAATATATTGTTGAAGACAAAATAAATGATATCATGGTCCTAGTTCTTCTCATAATATTCTTCTCATAACTCTTTTGGATTTTCTAGGAAGATCGCCTTTGCTCTCCATTACYTCAGGATATATCAAGATATAGTATTATATTAGTCAGACCCTAGAAACCTGGTACCTAGAGGTCCATGAAATATTATCAAGTTACCGTTTGAATTACCAATCTCAYTAAAGTTCCATAGATAGCGATTTATATTCATATCATGAATACTATAGAGTATAGTTTATATAAACCATTGTATACACAATAATAGTACATATTTTTTAGCGCACTTGATTTGCTGTCCGTCCAATTTGAGGAAACACATCTAAACGCCTCAAATGAAAAGTGATTTGAATAAATGTTTTCAGAACTTTGTTTTTTTACCTATATATTTGATTAAGAGAGACAAACAGTCTCATTTTATCATTCAATATCGATTTATTGAATCTCGAAATAAAATATTAAACAAAAATATAAGTTGATTATTGTCATTGAGCTCCACCCCGCTCCCGAAAATAATATTGCAGTTTCKTCAGGAAAGAGATTCATGCAATCAAACAGGAATMTATAGCAGAYGAAAGGAAGGTGGTAGCAATTTTATGGCATTCAAGGGTGGTCGGMTGGTCRRGTACATTGGAGACCCAGTTATAGCTTGCTCCGCCCCCAACCAGGAACGCTTGCGCGCAGGCTAAACCTTGCTAAATGTCATTCAGGCACTTAAGACTACAAGGCGGCATTGACGTGCTTAGAAATCAACACTCGAAGCGCGCAAAGCATATTATGAGATCAAGGAAATACACATCAAACTTTTAGAAACACCTGCATGCCATTTATTTAACTGTCGAGAAAGAAGAAGTCAATATCAAGTTGAGCAATCTCTTTACCTTTTGACTCAGGTAAGTTAATKAATCTTTGGCTGTTGAACKTTTCCCGGCTTCATTCACATTTTCACGAATTTGTTCATGTATAGGTAAAAACGGTCTTTACGTCCGTGAATTTACTACTTGAGCATCGATTATAGTATTCCACGGTAATCATTTATAGAATACGTCGGAGAGATAATCTCCACTTTTTAGGTCCATTTGAGTACTTTGATATCTTTTTTTTTCACAGTTGGCATCGAACTATAATGTGATTGCCAAAAACAATGCTAACTGGAAAAGCTTATAATCTGTCCAAAGTTAAAAAGAACATTTGTTCACGATTTGGTAACTTTTTACGAAATATCACGAACAGGTGATATGAAAAACTAATTTGCAATCAATCTTAGCTGTCAGAAGTTTACAAAACGCCCATCCAATCTTTGAGGAGAAAGTTTTGTCCATTTGAAYCTACACTACTTAAGCTACTTTTCATTCAAGACGTCAGAGTGCCTAAAAAGTAACAGTGACAARGTTGAATATTGATTGTCTATTGTGTTACCMRGAGTCAAAAAACCCTTTGTAAGTGCATTTATACGGCGCTGGCTTCAACTCGAATGCGAATGCAAACTAGTTGTGTTTCAAACTTCATTTCATCTCTCTGATGTTCAATTGTTTTCTCCTTCTTTCATAGAATTCAGAATCATCTTAAAGAGGGTGTTATTTTTTCAGTTAAAAATGGTAAGAACAATACGCCTAATCTTTACCATTCTGCTAGCGGTGGCGTCGAAAGCATTTTTCACCWGTAAAGAGCAAGATCAAAAAGGATGCAAGTGCATTGATCGAGCCAACGTGACAGCACTCTGCAGAATAGACCATCTCACCGATCTCAAAAAATACATTCCTTTCCKATCAAAGATTAAAACGTTGTAAGTATTCGACTGCTTATAAATTCAGATACACTTTTATCCAGCAGGATAGTGGTAACTCGATCGAAATTCACCTCGATTTATGATCCGTTTACCAGTAAAAAGTGCACTAAAATATTTCAWTACATTCATAGAGATCTTTCCAAGAGCAATATTCAAGAAGTTCCTCCCAAGAGTCTTTCAYAATTCACAGGACTTTCCACTCTGTAAGTACACCACTARTTGCTTCCAGTTCTTACACCTGCACCTAATTTTCTTTAGAGACTTTTACAAATAACCCAGTAAAGAAGTAAAACACATGTGCCACATACGACGCACACTGCTCCAAACTTTTCCATCTTCACTTTCAAAAGGAATTCTGTTTAAGTTTTTTAAGTTTACTAACTTRGACGCGAATCGATCTGGTTTGTTTTCACCTAGGTCTCTTTCCACCAACAACATACAAACTATCAGAGAACATGCATTCTTTGGATTAAAGAACTTGAATACGCTGTAAGTATTTGATATACCATCCCATTACATCACTTAACATCGACTGTGGTTGAGCSTGGCGGATTAATATTACAAAACCCCCGTTCTTTTGGCGATCACTTATACAGTGTGAATACAGTGTTCCAGAAAGTACAGCACTATTGAATTGATAAATAATGTTTTTGTGTGACGGAATGCTCTTTTACTTTCTTTAATAATAGGAACCTTCGWGGAAACAACATCAAAAACTGGAACACCATGTCACTCATCAATAATTTGCCACGTCTTGAGGTGCTGAACATAGAGAAAAATATCGAGTATATGCCAGATGAAAATATACTTAATCTTCCATATCTTAGTAGGATTCACTTCTTAGATGAAACATTTCTTGCCAGATTCAAGACTCGTTGCATTTTATCTAAAAACGCCACTGAATACGTGARYAAYGGATGGATGTTAATTCCCAAATCACWTAAAAACGTTGACATTCTTGACACGCTTGCCAAGCGGRARGATGMCTGCACTGAGGCAAAACTGGTGATAAACYAWAAAAAGTTCTGGAATATGACGTCCAAAAATGGTTTCCAGATTATTTGCAAGCCAGTCTTAAACAGWTCTTTGCRAGAYRCWAAAACAGAAAATGGCTGGTACCACATAGAAGCTCAAAACAGAGGATGCTGGAGCGCTATTAACCTTGTGTATATTTTAACAATTTCGATAGGAATTGCATCTTTTGTCCTAAATCTCATCATTATCGTCACAACGCTGAAAAGCGATGCTCTGCGGAAGTCGACAGCACATGTCTTTGTCGCAAATTTGGCATCGGGAGATTTCCTGACTTCGGTTTATACCATAACTCTAACAATTACAAGACAGATCGTTAGTTTCGAAATTTTCTTTTCATTTCAACAAAGGTTTTGTAAAATTGTAGGAATAATCTTTATGATTGGACAGTTCATCAGCCCACTGATGACGTTGATGATGACATTAGAGCGATATTTTGTCATTGTCCACTGTATGAATGCAGCAAGAAGAATAACCTTAACTCATGCTTATATAGCAATGGTAGTATGGTGGAGCTCTGCCATTTCATTGTCTATATGCATAATGTTTGTAGAAAGGCTGTCAAGTCCTTTAGACGACGTTTGTATTCCTTTAAATGATACTAAGGGTGAAAATGTGCTGCAATATCCACTAGTTTTCCTATCGCTTTGCTACCTAACGTCTGTGGTTTTATATCTTCGCATTTACTTTGATGTAAAGAATACAAGTCAAAGAACTGAACAGTTGCGTAAAGACAGCAGTATCGCCAAGAAAATTGCATTGATCACAGCAACTAATATTCTCTTCTATATTGTGCCAGTTATGATCATTCTTGTTTTAGCCAACACCTTTGTGAGATATTACTTAGATGCAAGAACTAAGAATATCTTTTGGAACTGCTTTGGTATCACCTGTCTTGTGACAAATTCTTGTCTCAATCCACTGTTGTTTTCATTTAGTAAGGGACTTTTTCGTACAGAGCTTCGTAAACAGATTGGCTGGAATTCGAATAAAATACACGTTGGAGGGGAGACATCTTGATTGCAATCAAAGAAAAATACGTAATGCACACAACGTCTTGAAAAAAAAAAAAAAACACATACGTGGACAAACGCACACAAAAAAACATGTATACACACTCCGGATTGAAAATAAAACTACATTTATATGCTTTTTATATTTCTTCCAATGAAAACCAAAGACAAAAATGGTGTCTATACTGACATTTCAATAAAATTATAAAAATCATATTCATCCTGAAAGTTGTTGTTGTTGTTTTTTTGCAAACGTAATATTGTGATAATTGGATAACAAGTTCGATTTGTAAATTAAAATAGTATAAGAAGCTTGACACAGGACTTGCTTGTTTGTTTGTTTTTGCTTTTTTTTTGGTTTTGCTGTTTGTTGCTGCTGTTGTTTTGAATAAATATATAAATATGACTTTCACGTTATTGGTCAATCTTTTTCTACTGTTTGGGATACCTGTGGTAGTCCGTGACAAGCGCTGGTCACACAACCGAATTGTATCAGTATTATACATCATGAACATAGCAACGTAAAACAGAGCTTCATATTCTTCCAGTAAAAAGGTAAAAGCTATATATATAGTTTGTGTATTATTCCTAAACTGCTTGCATCGAAGATACTGACGTAAATTTTATAGAAACTGTTGTGAATTGCCTGTCTCGCATTAGGCGTAATCTACCATGGCGGAGTATAGACACTTTCATACGGAGACTTATACATGTAAAATCAATCTAAAAAGTATACAAAGTGTATCTATCCATCGCTATTGGAGAGTCCTTGCACACAAACTTCTCACTGTAGCGCTGTATTATCTTAGGTTTAGAGTCATGGACAAATGTCAAAGTACTGCATCGACAGATGTCTATTCTTATAGTTTCTTTCAATTTATTTTTGTTTTTTTAACAGGGAAACATTACGAATAGTGACTTCTAGTATATTTTAGGAAAACCTGACAATTAAACTAATAATTAAGTTTGATAAAATACACCGCATTGAAACGGCTAAGAATTGAATGTATTGCGTGACACAATAACAACGTTTGAAGGCGTCATCATCTCTCTAGCTTTCCTCCAGGGAGGGGAGAGGAAATTATAGCAAACTATATGAAACTCTAATATTCAATTAAAGTTAAAAATTATAAACTATTTTTGTCCAAGATTATCTTATTTCACTCTTAATCTGTTTCAGACGGCAATATAAGAAGGATCTCGTTATTGCCACGTGTTCGTCTGTTTAAAATGGCATTTGGTCGTTCGTGGTTCTGGGCCTTTCGTTTATTAAGGAAAAGAGACAAATGTCTTATTCTTTTGACTATTGCATTGACTTTTCTTGGATTTCGTCGATTTTGGCAGCATTTTCAACTTCGACAGAAGGAAACTGCCTACAATGACGTCACCGAACTTATTGGTAAGATCTCTGTTTGTTTTTTTTTGGGGGGGGAGGGGAGGAATTCATAACAATTTTGTCGTTGAGGGACAGGAAGCCCGACAATAAGGTAGACTGCTAATTTATAGTGTAAAAGTTTTCCAGTACTAATTTGATACTAATTGATATATGTAATTCCACCACAGCAAAGTCTACTAATTCTGCCCATTTAATCCAACTATCTAAAGACATCAAGATTTTTTACAAAGTCAAAATAAATAACGGCTGGCATAATAACATCAATGTAATAACCATTTTCAATAGTGGAACAACTTCTATCTTTCTTGGAAACTCTGTACTTTATTTTTGCAATATGAAAACTATTCACGAAACTTCCAACGAACTTTTAAAAGTCTCTCACATCGATGGATGTTTATACAAAATAGAACCGGTTTCTAAAAGCCTTAAGATTCATCCCAATCAAGAAATCAGTCTGGAACATAAAACCAAAGTCTACGCTGCAAGTCGTACGGATGTTATGCCCAATTGGTTTTTTGTTGGTCCAAATAATGAAATCAGTGTAGTGGAAAACACTGCTGGGGAGGGGCTAAAATTTATATCAAACTTCACGACGAAGGATCAGTGGAAGCGAGAACCTGGTGACGAGAACGATCCGTATACGCCAGAGGAGCGTTATCATATAATAGGGTTTGATATCCCAGAGGAGACGCCATTGCCTGTCGTTATTCCTCAGCCATTAAATGTCATGAACCTCGACAGGACAAAAACAATGATTATAGACAAATCTTGGAGTATATACGGCGAGCAAGGACTAGAAAATGAAGCGTCTTTTATAAAAGGTATAGAATTCTACTTTAGATTCAAACTTGAGAAAAATACATGAAAGAAGAATGTTTTCCGTAGCACACGAAGTTTGTCTTAAAAAA